TTAAAACCTATGCTCACAAATGACACGCATGATTATTCTCCGGAAAAACCGTCAGAACATTAATTAGTATGAGCATCCTTTACAAATTCTGCGGCCAATTTTTCTGCGCTTAGTTTTCTGAACTATCGAATAATTTTCAAAAGACGACAACGTGACATTTTTTATTTAGGACAAGAGACCATTTTGTCATGTTTAGGGTAAGCTCAGGCGGTGTTGGACACGGTTCACGTGACAGTGTTTGCCCTATCATATCTGAATGGCTCTAACCCACCTCCGGGAACACAAAGACATCAAAAAACGCAATACAAACTTAAGGTAAGTCACGTTTATTTAAACTATTTTCTACACGTAGCACTCTCATGCATTGTCTTATAAACGGCTAAAATTGTAACGCAATCGCCAAGGAGTAATGTCACGTATTAATGGTATTCAACGTCTGGGCCGCATATGGTCACGCTTTTTCAGGGGTATTCTCGTGATGCGTGATTAGCTGGAATTATTTTCCGTGAAACTTGAATTTAGGAAACTATTCTTCGTGGTCCGTGACCTCAAGGTTTGTGTGACCCGTGAAAAACTTGAATTAAACCATAATCGTGATTATACCACTCTATTCTACGTGATTTCGAGACGCGAGTCCTTCGAATGATTAGAGTCGTCTATCGAGAGTGACTTAGGTATACGATTTGTAATATGGAGCCTTGACATTCTTCAAAGTATGGGCAAAACTAGCCTGCAGAACAGGCGTAATTTTTTTGCGTATTTTAGGCGAACAGAGGCGAAAGCGAGGCGAGCGCGAAGCTAGAGTCGCGGGAGAGAGGAAGAGCTCGAAAAAAATAACGCGTTATTTTTTTCGCGCTCTTCCCCTCGCGCGCGATTTGCGCTTCGCGTTCGCCTCTCTACGCCTAAAATACGCAAAAAAAATTACGTCTGTTCTGCAGGCTAAGGCAAAACAGAAGGAAAAAAGTGATGTGCAACAAAACAGAAATGAAACTGAGGAGCAATTGCCGAAGCGTAATTACAAGGAGGCACTCTTGACGGACATAAAATCTAAAATTAACAGCATTTGATACAGCATGTCTGAATTAAGCCACTTGCCGCGAAAGGTCGCTGAGGAGTCCATGCCTGTTGGGTAAAAATAAAAATCTGTTTTTCCCAATAGCCCGCGCTCGTTTTAATATTTCATTTTCACATATATATATTTTTTGAAAATGTTATCTTAAACAATGAACTTTCATTTAGACACTATAAGAGAGTTGCTAATATACAGAAATCAATACTGAACAATATAGTACTTGTGAGTACAATTAATCAAAGTACAATTAAGCTTAGGAATGAATTAATGAACAAAAACATTAAATCAACGAGCAAATGAAAATGAGAACATACGAATAATTTCAAAATTAGCAAAACCAACAGCCATATTTTGTGCTCTGAGAACTTCGTAGAATACTTGCCATGCTCTCCATCAGACTTATTACTTCAATTTACTCGCTACTCCTAGAAAGGGTTTTAAGTGCTGTGGAAACAACTGAAAGAACAAGTTTCCGAAACAGGATGTTCAGAGAAAC